GAACAGCTCCCCTCTCCCAGGCAGCTTCCAGTTTTAGGGAAGAAAGAAGAAATAATGAATTAATAGTGGTTAAGATTGTGACAGTGAATTCTGCAGCCTCACTGATAGGTGTAAGTATTAGCCCAAAAGAACATTTTAACTTCTTTGATGCTGCTTCAGAAAGCTTCTGTTGGAGAGTACTGGGGTTTCCTCAAGCTCTGGGGTGCTAGGGGCCGAGTGAGGGTTCAGATTTTACAGAAATAAGTTGCGCTCGGTGCACTGCTATCACAGGGACTTCCTCAGACCGAAAGTAGCTACGTCAGATGGCCACTTCATTCAGAAATCTTGGCTGGCTTCCCTTCCAAGGCCCTGATGGGGCAATAATGCAAAAATAATAAAAGTCTGGTGCAAAGCTCAGTGCAAAGTCTCTAGTCCTTGGATTGGGCTGACGTATGTCACACAGCCGTAGTAATGCCCTTTCCTGTATGAGCTGGCCACGATAGCGGTTGAGCTGCCGCAGGGACTCGGGATGCGGGCAGGTGGATGGGAAGGAGTTCTGCTCTGCACTGCTGCAGAGAAGAACGTGGTACCCGAAATAGGGAAATGTGAGAGTAGCTAATCCTAACTGCTGAAACCGGTGCATGTTTTGTCATTGGTCTTAATGGAGGCAGGATTTTAGCTCAGTGAAGTGTATCGTTGCTCTTAACCTGTTCTGTAAGCCTTTCTCATGTTATATGCTTATGGCAAGGTATTACCTGGGATGCCTTGTTATTTCCTTTTGACTTACTTTATATTCTGCTATGCACTCCTATCTCTTTTGAGAGCAAAATGCTGCGCGAATGCCTTACGGGCTCTTTCTCTTTCACTGACCTTTTTTTATGACTTTAAAGAAGTTTCCCTAGGCCTAGTCTGCTTTCTGTCTTGAATATTGACCTCAGAGTTACACCATCTCATTGTTGCTGCACGCAGACATCTCAGCTATCAAAGTTCACCCACAGGACTCAAAGTATTCCTAACTCAGAAACACCTTGCCTTTTATGTCCTCCTTCACTTCTCCCTCCTCCCTCTGCATGAGCATTTTAATTTCACAAGCAAACTCTGTTTCTCTGTGAATTTCAACGGGTGGTTTACCTGTTTCATGGTAAAAATTGTACTTCGAATTTAAATGTCTTTTTCACTGTGACTGTCATAATATTTTCCATTTGAGGCTGAGACTCCACTGTGGGTTTTCGTGCCACATTGTCATCTGTATGAATCTGAGCTTAAATGCGTGGAAATTCTGACATTTCAGTAAGAAATATAAAGTGTTTTTTAATGTTCTTCAAGTTAGCTGTTTCGTAGGTATGGCCGCTGGGTTTTGCCCAGTGCCCTGGTCTTTCCCAGTTCAACAACAGATAGAAGATTTCTGAAGATTTTGGGCTTGTTTGCATTCACTGTGTTGTGTCATTTCTATGAGAATGAGTGATGGTAATTTTTTATTGGATTGCTTACCCTGAAAAGATGATAAAGGAATAATTACCCCAAACCAGGGATTTCCAAACTGACTTTGCTTGGGTGCCATTACCATTGGCAGCAGTGGTTACATACATTGCCGAATGTGGTGTCCGTGTATCATGGTCTTCAGTGAGGGTCTCGGGCAAAGCAGCTTTGTACCAAGCAAGCTGAGCCAAACTTTGAGTGGCTTCTCAGTGGAAATGGCTCCACGGTGGAAAGAGCTGCCTTTAGTGGGGGCTCGAAGAGGGTTTTGGTAGGTTATAGCACTGTTGAACTCTTTGCCTTCAAGTCAATGGCCTGTAGACCAAGGCTGGTCATGCCCAGTAGTGCGAGCCACATGTTTTGGGGGCAAGTTTTGACTATTAACGTTTACCTACTCTACAGTATTTGACAAAGGCTGAAATCTCTCTTGGCAGTCATGTGGTTTCATCCGGTGGTTTGTTATGTGGAACAAAGTATGCTGTTGAGGAGATCACCAGAATTGAATTCTCTAATACACTTTTACAGCTTTCTGTTGGGTAATATGAAATATGGAAAAATGCACACCCACTGGCAATGTTCATGTCCACAAATATATATATTTTTTGTCATTAGTTACTTTGAGAATACAAGGGGAAATTTGCAGCTATTTCAGTGACCTGACATTTGTCGCAATGACAAGGTTTCTAAAATCCAGACCGTAATTGCTACCTCGGCTAGCTGCAGCTCTTACCAAACGGGTTGTGAGAATTGCTGGTGACACAAACTGCTACTATCAGAACTGATTCCATTGTGGTCTGACCTGATCAATTGTCCTGCAACCCAAGTCACAGTCACTTTGTGTAATTTTATAGTAGAAATCAGATTTTACACGTGTGGGGCTATGATGTGGTTGCATCTGTAGAGCAGGGGGGGACAGAATTTGGAAACGAACCCAAGGGAGTTTTATTCGATCCTACTCAACTGGAGCTCACAAACTTCGTTCTTCAGGGTTGTGTCTGAGAGGCTTCCAGTTACGTATTAAGGAACATGACTAACATTTGTCACATGTTGTTTATTCTCTTATCTTCTCCCCAGAGGAAAGAGCATGTGTGCTGGAGTATTTCCTTCCTTGGGGAGTTACGTTCCTCAAATCCCATATTGCGTGCAGAAATTGTACCTTTATCATTAGCTTTTATCATCTCAATGAACCTTGAAATTTGATGGCATTTGGATAACTGACTATCATTGGAAAAGCTCAGCCTTGTTATGTGTGAATAGTTTGTGAAATTGTTGCAGTGCAGGGAGTAACTATTTGAAGAAATGTAATACCAACTTTTTTTTGGTTGTTGAATCAATGTTTTGTACTGGGAGCTTGTAGGGGAATATGTTTGTCTGTACTAAACGATAATATATTTAATTAATTGTAGCTACCTCTGGAATAGCTGAAAGCAATCATCCCTTTCCCGTGCATCTTACAGTTTATCTATGTTGCTTGATAACCTGGTGTGGCCAAACCAGGTGGGCTAATTCAGCCCTGCTTCAGCTCGGTTAACTTAATCCCTTCGATTGCATTGGATTTTTTTGATTAGACACCAAGTTAGCTTCTAATAAAGGCGTCAGACTGACAGGCATTGATGCCATCTAGATGCATGACGAAGCATTGTAATGGTGATGACAAAAGTCCTTCTGTCTTAGGGAGCTGCCAGTATGTTTTCCTGAAGGTGCTTCCGGAATGAGATGGCTGGTTTATGTTTAAGAGCTGAGGCTTGATCCCGATCGTTCACATCAAGGGCAATTACTCTGGGAATGATAATGAGCCTCACACTCAGCCTCCACTGAGATTCCCAGTACCAATGCCAGTTACAGCAACAGTGTAAGCTAGTGAGCAAAATAAAACAAAGACCACAACAACTGTTTGGTCTGAGACACAATACTTTCCTGAGGATAAGCCTTATCTCTAAATAGAGAGAAATAAATCCACAGTTTGGACGCTTATTAACGGCAGCTTTTTTGAAAAACTTGGTTGCGTCACTGAACTGCGCATACAAACAAACTTTTTGAGAAAACCAGAAACTTTCTGCAAGCATGTTCATTTCATCAAATCCCTTTTTTCTGAGACAAAAACATTTGAAACTTTTTGACCAGCTCTGATACCAGAGGCTCAAGCTTTCTCATCTTCCATCATATAGGTGATGTGGGGCACACACTGTGGTATCTGCTAGTCCTGCAGAGGCCCCAGAGAATTTCCCCGACTCTGGTTCTTTCGTGTTTAGGGCTTCAGCCCCAGCGCAAGGAGCCCTCTGTCCGGCTTCTTGCTGGCCACGGGTGTCCTCCCCGCAGCATCCCCTGCATTTTCCCATCCCAGTGGTGACGGTGCATTTTGGCTGCCATTAGTTCACCTTGGATTTCATTAAGTAAATGACCATGACAAGCTTTCAATGTTGGGACAAACCCAATAGAAACATGTATATTATCCCAAGGAGGATGTTCTCAATTTCTTTGGCCAGAAACTAAAATTCTTACCTAAGATTTTGAAAACGCTGGAAGAAGTTTGACCTTCCCCATCCCTCAGCCAGCTCTGAAAATCGCAGCCCGTGGTGTTTTACTAGACTTGCAGTACTGACTTAATAGCTCTCTTTAGTTATTAGAGAATAAATGTTCATGTTCTACAAGTTTAAATTATCTTAAAAACCTTCATTAGCATGACTTGGCAAAATACACTTCTGGCTAGCTTTCTGGCCTTGGGTTTCTTAATTACATGCTATGAAAGGGATATATTTTATGAGAATCTGGTGCCAGGTTTTGCATGTATTAAGAGGCATTTGCCATTTGTTCATAATGCTGCTGAGTGAAACAAAAAAAAAAAAAAAATTGGAGTTATGTCTTGCGTTCATATGGCTTGATTTTTATTGTACATGGCCCTTTATAATAATTTTTTTTTTTTTTTTTTATGTTTTAATATTATCCAGTCTCTATGAATTACTGGTGGCAGCTCAGTTCTGGCATGTAACAGTGCTGTTACCGAAGTTACTTTCTGTTGTCTTTTTTTTCCCCAACCTTCCCCTAGTAATTTTGGCAAAGTTGTCTCAGTGGAAGAACAACTCCTCTGGGCCACGTAATGGGTTTCTCCACAGTTGGGAGTAGAATTAGGCCACTGGGGCAGCTCGTTTTTGTGAAGGCAACTGTTCGCACCATGGGCAAAATGTCTCAGAAGTTTCTTTCCCACGAGACTTGGTGACACACAGGCAGTGCTGGGGTGTGATTCAGCTGTTTGGTTTGTTTTCCCCTCTTGTCATCTGTTTATTTGCTTTGCGACCAACAAGTCCGCCTCTTTTTCCTTCTGCTAATACTGCGCGTTAGTGTGAAAAACGGCTGGGGCGAAGTACCCGGCGGGTGGGAGGAGGTGTGTGCAGAGGGAAAATGGGGCTGGGAAAAAGGTCTGGGACTTGAATAACCTTTCTGAGGTGTCTTTCCATCGCAAGAGTTGTTTGTTGCAAAGGTGTGATTTTTGATAGCAAAAAGTGGGTTGCAGTGGATTTGACCTGATGCTCTCGTTCTTTCCGCAGTGGGGAAGCCTCACAAGTGCAACTACTGCGGCCGGAGCTACAAGCAGCGCAGTTCGCTGGAGGAGCACAAGGAACGCTGCCACAACTATCTGCAGAATGTCAGTATGGAGGCTGCCGGGCAGGTCATGAGTCACCATGGTGGGTGGAAAGCGCCTTTTGAGGTCTCTTGGACTTGGAGCATCTCTTGCGGGGTTTTTTTCTATCTGTTTTTCTCCTTCCTTTCAGCTTTGCATCACTTCCATCTTACAGATTGCTTATACTCAGATAGGCAGGAGGAGAAAAGATGGGCTAAAATCCTCACTCTGTCCAATTTAACAGCACTGGTTTTGCTGATTTTTTTTTTTTTTTTAAGTCAGTGTTTCACTTTTTAGTATCTATAAATATGCAGACATGAAAATAAAGCAAAGTCACCTGTGCAAAGTTACCCTAAAGATGAACTAAGCCATGTATAAAATGTATGATTCCCCTCCCCTTCCTTTCTGATAGCGACTGATAATTATAAGAGATAAGGTTGGTGGAGGTATTAAAAAGTCATCATTTCTACTCCCTGTAATATTATTTTATGTCCCAAGACAAGGGGGAATAGATATAAAAATCTTCAGAGCAGAATGGAATTCAACAGTGTTGATGGAAGTAATTGTAACCAAAAAAAGTTTATGTGCATTTACATGTGTTAGTATTAATATGTTAACTAACACTGCATGTGTTAATATACATAAAGACTGAAGATTGCCAAAAAGACTGTTGAAAGCAAGAAATGTCAAACTCTGTGAATTTGTTTTCAAAAATTTCTGTAGCTATTAGTATGGATAATGAGCATAGTATCTCAGACTGCAGGGTTGTAGGCTTAACTGTAGCTTAAATGCTAAACGGTAGCTGTCCAAAAAATGTTATAATTTCATTCAAAATTAGTGTTTTGGGAACTCTCCTAAAACTGAACATCTTTTAACTTTTAAAAGTTGTCTTTAGATTTTTGGTACTTGAAGTATTTAAAATTTCTTACTAATCAGAAAATATAAAAATTATACATTTTCCATTTTGATTAAAAATTACCATTAATTAAGAATATAGCTAAGAATACCGAAAAGTTAGATTGTAGGTAAATGAAAAGGCAAAAGAACGTTTCCTCTTTTTTCTCCATTTTGCTTTTCATTGTTGAGTGGAGTCATATGGCTTCATTTGGAAATTAATTATATAAAAGTTCTGAAAGGTCATTTCTAAAAACCTAAAAATACAAGCTGAAATAAAATCTATTCAGCATTTCTAATATGGGCTATTTTTTGGTGAAAAAAATCACCAAAAAATTTTAAGGAGTACTTTTCCATGAACAATTTAATCCTATAAAGACATTCTAAATGTATTCAATACGCATTGCCAAAATGTTCATAGAGCTCTAATTACTATCTTTGTAGACACCCTGGAGACTAAAATCAACACTTTAAATGTAATGGATGACTTCAAAGACATTGAAGTTAGTGATTATCTGCTTTAGGCCTGACTTTATGCTTGTAAAAGTCAGTGGACAGACTGATTTCAGGGCTTTGCTATTTGCAGGTACCTGTTGTGTGCTTGGGCTGTTAGATGGAGCGCTTAGTTGATAATAAGAGTTTAACCACCGACTCCATTCCCAACAAGATACATGCTCTTCGCTCTACAAGGGTGTGCCTGTATTATTAACCAGCAAGGTGATGGTTTCAGTCAGCTTTTCCTTAGGGGAGTAATAGTAGATTGATACAGTTATGACAGCCAGGATGTTTCAGAGATCACTTTGTGGAGGATCTTCCCAAGTTCCACTCAACTTCTGGGTTTATTATTCAGTTATTTACTAAAACTGGGTTTACTCTTGTTGATAGCGTACTTCTGAGGAAATCTAGAGCTTTTTCTAAGCTGCTTAATGCAATGACAAGAAGGGTAAGTCCTTAACCTTGTCTACCCAAAGAAGCTGGAATGGTTGACCTTGCATTGATTTTTCTACCAACTGAAGTTAAACCACTGCAAACCCCATGTGGACAGTTCTTTTATTTGCAGCCTGACTGACTTTGCTTGTGCTTAAAATAGAAATGTTCACACAACCACTTTACTTTTCTCAACAAAATTAGCTTAAAACAGCACTTTGAATTCAGCTAGTGCCTCTTTCTCCTCTGGGCAAATATGCCTAAATCTCCCCTGCT